AGAGGGTCTCCAGCTACCTTAGGAAATAGGAAAAGAATGAAGGAATTAAAAAAAAATACAATGAATACTGTTGAGTTTATTCTTCCTCACACGCTTACTTAGGGCACACCTAGATTGCTCTTTTGCCTGAACTTCTTCCATTGTTTAGTTCACGTGGGCTCTGTCAGGCCAATGCATCCCCAACTGAGCCCCTTAAAGGACCCAAGTGCAGCTGAAGCCAGGAGAGGCATTTGGGTGCTCACGTGGTTGTCTGTACCCAGCACACTTGTGAACACCCAGAGCAATGGGTGTCTCTCAGGGCCTGACTGATTGGAACCCTGGAGTGGAGATAAGGCAGGTCCTCACCAAATACACTTCATTCTACAGAATTGTGTCTCTGTCTATTCACATGAATATTCTCTTAAAATGAAAAGCTTGATTCAAACACTATTGTCCAGATGGTAGAAGGCTGTACAAAGGACTGAATTTTCAGGATATCAGTTGCCTTGATATTTTTGACTAATGATAGTAAGTCTATTTACTTCTATTTCTAGAAGGTTTTAGGAGGTTTTTTTTTTTCAGGTATTTATGGAATTTTACCCAAAAATGAAATAGTTTTGGTAAGATAACTCATGTCCACATTTGCAAATCCAGTATTGTTGAAGATATATATTAATGAGTGTGTTTTCAAATGTGTCCGTACAAATTTCTGTAATTTACAAGAAATCAAAGTTCTCCTTATACCATGTGTTTCAGTTTCAGAAGACTAGTCTAGCTGAAATATAAAACACTTCAAGCATTATGGAAAATCAAATACTGAATCTTACTAGCTGTTTAATGCATTAAATTCTTAATGCCATGAAATGATCACTTGATTTCTTAAGCTCTGCTTTTATAGAAGCAAAAGGCATGAATATATTAAATGTGTCAAACTAGGAACCTTGAAATGAAAATGGGTTTTTAGATGTTTCAATATTAGCCTTTTTTTCTGATTTCTGTTTCTCAGAGCTTTCCCACTTGTGCTTGTTTATGTGACCTGAAAGTACTGGCCTTCTGACCATCTCCATCATTCCTGGGGTAGGGCACCAGTGCGGGGGACTGATGACAAGCCTGGTTTGACAGATTTCAATAGATTATAAATATTGTTTTTGTCTTCTCTTACCTATTTTCCTATCTCTTGTTATTGCATCAATCTATGGATTTCTAACCTTTTTTCTTTTTTACATTTTTTTATTGAGGTAATATTGATTTACAACACTGTGTAAGATTTAGAGGTATAGGATCACCTCCTTTAGGTGGGTGTCACTACAACCTGCCCAGCACCAAGGAACCATAGTCCTCCACTGAGGCAGGGACTTCTCAGATGTGCTTACTTCTTTCCCTTTGCATGTAGTCTTGGGAATGAGAACACTAACAATAGTGTCTACAGTTCATTGATTAATGATTGCAAATCACGACTTAATTCTCTGTTTCTAATAACATCTTTGTTTTAGCCAACTGTGTCAGCAATCCAAAAACACTTCACATTTTCTCAAAATTAAAAAAGTCCTAATGGCCTTTCATGATGGCCTTACATTAAATATTTAGATTACATTGCGGACAGATCCAAATAGTTCTGGAGGCTCCTTGTCTCCCCCCGTCTGACAGCTCAGTGGGTCTACAGTGACTTGATGGAAGGAGCAGACTGGGGCCAGCCATGAAATTTCCATGAACTCTCCTCCAAATGAGGCCATTTTCTCAAGCAGGAAGACTGTACTGTTACAACATTGCTCTCCCAGAATGTAAATTGATACAGCCACTATGGAAAAGAGGTTCCTCAAATTTAAAAAAATAGAAACATCATATACTCCAACAATCCACTCCTGAACATTTACATCAAGAATATGAAAACACAATAAAAAATGTATGTGTACCCCCATCTTCATTTCACTATTCGCAATAACCAAGATATGGAAAAACCTTAGTGCCCAAGGGAAAATAAATGGATTAAAAAGGTATGACACATGCACGCAATAGAATACTATTCAGCTATATTAAAAAAATGAACTCTTGCCATTTGTGACAATGTGAATGGAACTGGAGGCAATGATGCTAAGTGAAATAAGTCAGAAGGAGAAAGACAAATAGCTTATGATTTCACTCATCTGTGGAATATAAAGAAAAAAGACAGACAAAACAGACATTCATACTGAAAACAGAATGGTAGTTCCCAGGAGGGTATGGGTACAGGTGGCTGATTGGTGGGTGGAGGATGGTGACTGGACCTTTGGGTGTAGGGTGATATGTATAGATGGTTGAGGTGTGAAACTGTACACCTGAGACCTATACAGTGATGGAAACTATTGCTACCTCAATGAAAAAATAATGAAAAAATATTCCTTCCAAGAGTATACTGCCTACCAAATATGTTCTACCTGCCTACCTATACTTTTTTCCCCCAATAAACTCTCATATGTGCCAGTGAGATGGTGCATGTCAGTGATCCCCTGGGATGACTGAGGTCTTCCTCAGACATTGTTCCTACAACCTTGACCTGCTTTTGGGTCTCAAACCTTCTTTTCAATGTCACAATACCAGGGGCTTTCATGCTAGAACTTCTGATGGAAGATCATGATCATGTTGCTATTCAGAGTTGTTTGCATTTCTCAGAAATGTTACATAATTGTTTTTAAAGAGATTATTACTTGTTCTCAGCCTACTTCTAAATACTGTTACTTCCAAAGCTTTTATGAAACTCAACTTTTTTCTTTCCATAACTAATCTGTGCTGGTGCATAGAGCAGCTATTGACTTTGTGTATTTTCCTTTTGATTTTTGACTGGACCCAGTTCAAATGTTTTCCAGCAATTAAGGTGTAGGTTGACAAAAGAATGGAGTGTTTGTAGCTTAAGTGGGAAGTCCTCAGAACCCAAAAGAATAAATCTATTTTGATGTTACTCAGACCACAGGCATGTGGCGGTGACCTTCTCTGCCTCCTTCTAAGATGTGTGCATGCTGTTCAGTTAGTAATTGTCAAAAAGGAGAACTTGCCCTGATGCTTTAACTTCTCCTACTGATCAGGGCACTTCATTTCTGGGATCCTAAGGCTCAGAGTTATTGCCCAAAATACTTCTTCTCCTTTCCAATGAATGGGGTTGCAATGGGGTCATATTGTGATAGTGTCTCACAGGCCATCCTGGGAGCCACTGTCCTTTAGCCATTCACAGTCTCATATATCTCCCCATTTCCAAGCCTGCGGTATTTAAAATTCCTTGCTGCTTTCTGGTTCTGTCTTTCCCTGATGTCCCAACATCTATCCCATCTGCTTTTACCCTCACTATTCCATGATCTCTATAATCTTTATGATGGGATTAAAATGTAAAGCCCCTGGACCTTGCAACTCAATAAACATGGCCCTCACTGAACTCAGCCAGTTTCAAGACCCACAGCCCACACGTGAGACCTGACTTGCTAAGTAGCAAAATGATTGTCAGAACATGTAGCTGGGTTTGTTTCTGTGTGCTTGCTGCTGCAGGTATAGAAGGCAGTGAGTCCACAGCCTGCATCTCCTGCTGGGTGGACCTCTCACCCTGCTGCTGAGACTCAGAACTTGGGCTATGCCTCTGTGCCAGGTGTGCCATGAGAACCATGTTCACTTCATCCCACAAATGTTCTGCACTGATTCTTCACTGCTTGGAGAGGAAATCCAAGCAGTCTTGAGTGGTGAGCATCCCAGAACCTGAATCAGATTCCATGTTCTGATCTATCTTAGCCCTGTTCTGGGCTCAAGCATCTCACCCTACCATCTGACTCTTCATATGTATTTTTTACTCAGTCCTCTTTCCATTTCATTTTCTAGCTACATCTACCTCTACACTGTATAACCCATACTCTGGACAGTCTTCTTCTGTTCAAACCATTTTTTTTAATTAATTAATTAATTTATACAAGCACTGGGTACAGTCAGAAGCTCGGGAGGTTGAGAGAATTCACCAGAGCCAGAGTGGGGAACAGAACAGGCAGACTAACGAAGTACACTGCTGAGGGGAGCAGCAGCGGTGGGGGGGGGGGTGTTGGTGGGGGGGGCGGCTGGAGATGTCTGCCCGCCATGTGGGACCCTCGCCAGCGCCAGCGGCTGGGGATCAAACCAGCGCTGCAGAGGCTGCGGGCAGCTTTGCAGCCCAGTGCTCAACCACTGCGCCACCAGGGGAGGCCCCAAGCCAATTCTTGATTGTTTTGCTCATCTTCCTAGTGTAACTGACGCTTGCCCCAGCCTGTTCCTTGCTGCCTTTCCCCATAGTTTTTCCTTACCTCTCCAGCTCCTGCCAACTTAGCGGGGAAAGTAGAGAGGAACACTGCTTCATACAGCTTGTACTGACTTAGAATGAGTTAAAGTATAAATGTAGGTTTGGATGAAACTGGTCAAGATCTAAATGCACAGTATATTTATGACAAGAATAATACTGCTAATCCTAATAAAATGTGATAGTAAGAAGGATTTTATTTTTGCAGCAAACTCATAACTCATAAAATAATGTAGAATTGTCTAGAAATCATAAGGTTTTTAAATTATGTGAAGAATACATATTAATCTGTACAAAGTTATTCCTTGTAATTATCTTCAATAGAAATTATCTTTAGGGCACATAGTTAACCATTTAGAATGAATATAGAAGTAAATATATTTCTTTCTTTAATTTTCCTAACAGTCTACTATGGTTCATATGTTCTGAAGAAAAGGGTAAGTCCTTGAATAGGACACCTGATTCCAGGAAGATAAGTTGTCAATTGTCATTTACTTAAAACAAATTTTATTACAAAATGTTAATATTGTTAGTAGTAAAAACATAGTTAAGTCATATTTTCTTTTGTAAAGCTCTACAAAATTAAAGGTTTATATTTAAATACTTTACACCTAAATGTCACCTATAGTTAAATTTTGGCTAATATGTTTGAAACACTCAGGTAAAAAAGAAACTTTGTCAAGTCTTTAATGTATTATCAAAAATAACCGTGGAACATGCATTACACTTTATAATAAGGTTACTTAAAATATGGATTGTAAATTCTTCTAATTTTCATTAAAACAGATTTAATCTTGACAGGTAGGTTGTTTTGGTCCCTGTGCCCAGTTGAATCCCAGTTGCAAGCAGCTTTCCAGGGAAGTTCAGATTCAGAAGACCTCACTGGTTGAACCACCAGCCAGTGAGGTACTGAGATGAGTGTAGCTCTTCACAGATGGACCACAGCCCAGGAGGGCAGGGCAGCACCCACCATTATCCACATCTGATGTGCTGAAAGGCACTGCATTCTTATTATCTTCTTTTCTGAAGCCCTGGAATGCATCACCTGAGAAATGACTAGCTGTGAAGGCAATTTTGTAATTTTTTAAAATATTTATTTATTCATGCATATAAGAACCAGGGTACAGGCCAGATGTGTGGGAGGGTGAGAGGATTCACCAGAGACAGAGCAGGGAACAGAACAGGAAGACTGAGTGAAACACACTGCTTAGGGGAGCAGTGGGCGAGATAGGAGATGTCTGCCACACCATGTGGGTATCTTCTAGGCCAGCTGGGATTGAAGTCGTGCTGTGGAGGCTATGGACAGCTTCACAGCGCTGTGTTCAACCGTCTGCGCCACCAGGGAGGCCCCAGTTTTTGTAATTTTAATCGACCTTTACCAGCCATTTTGCAAAATCATTGCATCTAGAAATAAGGAATGAATTCTTTTCTACCATGTATCAGACTAAGACCTCTCTTCCAGACTACAATACACCAAAACATGGTGATGAATTTCTGAATGTGCTAGGCAATTTAGGGTGATCATTTGATATAAAATCCACATCCAAAATAGAAGTTTGGTTGTGTAAGCAAAATCAGTTAGTTTTAGGCCAGAAAACTGGCCTAAAAGTGGCAAAAAATGGTGTGTAGACCTGACATACTTTGGGTAAGATTAATGTGGCAGTTGGACATTTAGGAGAAGAAAAGAATTTACAGCAAATGCATCCTGCCATTTTACATCACTTCAGAGAGAGAGAGAGAGGTCTGATGAAGTTGAAATGTCTAACTTCAAGAAACTTCAATTCACACATGCAAAAGTTGTTTGATTTTATTTATGGCCACCAAATTTATATGAATGCCCAATTAAAAACATCAGCTATATTCTTAAAGTATTTCTTTTCTTCATTGTTCTCCAAAGATATATGGACTAACGGGAACAGTAGTTAATGCCAATTTTAAAGGGCTAACATTAGACGTTTTACATGCCATATCCCTGATATTTACCATCCCTTTCAAAGATTAAGTACTTTGGTGAATGCAATCCAGTGATCTAAGTGACAGGAATAGTTCTGTTTTGTAAAACCAGAAATACTGAGAGTGAAGTTATAAAATTTTTAGAAAAAAAAAATCAAAGCCCCTACCTGTTTTCACTATGCTTCCACACATCTCTACCCCAGAGCTTCTGACTCTGAACTTCATGAGAAAAAAAAGTGCTTGTAGAGAAGACTTACGTTCAAATCCCACAGTGCAGTAACTTCCAGAGTTTCATAAAGACACCACACTTCTAGAGCATTGCCTCCACTTTGTGATTCCTCCACGGATAGTTTCCTGGATAAACTCTTACCAACTGGGAGGGTTGTATATCAAATCAGCTCTACACCAAATTATATTTAATAAATTATTTTAATAAAATGCATAGATCCGGGCCTCCCTGGTGGTGCAAGGGGTTAAGATGCAACCTATGAAGCTGTCCACAGCTGTTCGATCCCCGACCAGGGAGATACCCTCATGACGCAGCAGACCTCTCCTGACTCGCCTGCTGCTCCCCTCAGCAGTGTGTTTCAGTAAATCTCCCTGTTGTGTTTCCCGCTCTGTCTCTGGTGAATCCTCTCATCTCCCACACCTCTGGCCACCAAGACCCCAGTTCTTATATGCATAAATAAATAAATCTAAAAAAAATAATAAAAATAACAAAATGCATAGGTCTACTTTTAAGAAATAGTCCATTACAACTCAAAATCATATTTTCTAAGAGGGGGGCAGTTAAATAAGACACTTGGTTTTCTGAGAGAACCCAGGAGAATTTCTGTCAAATTTTAGAATCAGGGGTATCTGTCCTCATGGAATAGCTGTGTGGCTCAAGTTTATTGAAATGTGTGCGTGTGTGTTGAGGTTAGTGAGCTCATGAATTGAGTTCTTTTGACCACAGAAGTTTGGAGAAAGCCCCTGGATCCTTTTGCTCACAGACCAGTTCAATCCCATGGAGAGAAGTGTGATGTTTCAGCCTTTTCACACTTGTCTTTTATTGCTTCAAAATTTCCTGCACAGGCTGGTGCATTTTTGACAGTTCGGTTTCATATTTTTATTTTTGCTCTGAACTCAAAATCAAAATGGCCTCCCACCTCTACCACACACCTGATCCTGCTTAACACCCTGATTTTATCTATGTGTCTATCTTTACAGTCTATAGACACTTTTTTTTATCTTGATTGTATTATGTGATCAGCAGTTGAAGTTACCTAACTATTTTACTGGGAAAATGTAGCATAGGGAATAGCAATCTTGATGGCTCTGTAATAAAAAAAAACTGTTGGCATTATAGATCTTATTATCTAAATTAGATCCTAATTATCTTTCTGAGAAGCCCTACATTAGTTTTTCCTAACATAGCATGTTCTGTATTTTAGATTGTTATACTTTTAAAGAGAAGGCATTAAAAATAATATGTTCCCTCTATATCAAAATTTGAATTTCAGACTTTCACCCAATGTCTCAAAACTGAACCATGTCAGCAGTCATAGATTCCAACCATACCAGATAACTTTGTGACTGGTAATATTCCTCCCTCTGTGCCTTGACACAAACTGCTCTCTTTGCCAGCATTCATTTGCCAAAAGCTTGCCCATTCCTCCAAGTACAGGTCAGTGGTTCTCGACTATACAGACACCAATATGTCACCCCCACGGCTAAAGCAAATATCTGGACTTACACTTAATCAGATTCTGTAGGAATGACTACTTTCTAAAAGCTCCCCAGCTTGATTTTAACTTTAATCCCTTGTTGAAAACTATTCTCCCATGAAGAGTTTCTGGATGCTATCAGTTGGAATCATTTTCTCCCTCTCTTTAATCCCTGAAGCTCCATCACATAAATACCAAGAGATTGAATTACTTTTATCTTCACCTGCTAGTGAGTTTTCTGGATAATTTAAGAATAAAAAACTTACCAGCATTTCCTGGATACTGTCCTAAGTGCATTTTTAAAAATCTCGCTTCATCCTCTAGCCAAAAATTATCATATGATGCATAAGAGAATGTGTCATCTTCAGAATCCAGTGCCATATACAGCATAAAACTGTTTTTTTTTTTACTATATGAAAGGTCTTTTTTAGTCCTAGTCAAAATTCACCTGTAAAAATATGCTTTTAAAAATATATTTTACTACAAATTAGAATAACCCTTTAATATAACAAATCCTTTTTTTGTGTTTCAGCAATTGAGATAGTTTACATAAATCATTTGAGGAACTTACAGCCCCAGCTCAGTTTATCAAAAGTATCACACACAAAAACACATCTTCCCACTTGTTTTCCCTAGATTGGGGATAGTTAATCTCTGTTTTGTTCTTAATCTCCCCAAATGAAATTTTTAAATTCACTTAAACATTAATTAAGAAAAGAAACAAGATTTAGGACCTCCCTGGTGGTGTAGGGGTTAAAGTTTCAGCACTATCAAGCTATTGCCAGACACTTGTATGAGTTGGATCCCTAGCCAGGGAGCTACCCACATGGCACAGCAGACCTCTACTGTCTCTCTCCCACTGCTCCCCTCAGCAATGTATTTCAGTAGATCTGCCTGTTCTGCTCCCCACTCTGTCTCTGATGAGTCCTCTCACCCCCTGTACCTCTGGCCTACACCCCAGTTCTTGTATACAAAAATAAATGAAGATAAATCTTTAAAAAAAAACAAGATTTACATTAAAACATATCAACAATAAGCAACAATAATAAAACAGTTGAAACATTATGACAGGTAAGCAAATTATGTATTCTGATGTAGTTAAGAGATTTAACCTCCAAAACAGCAGTTCCTCATGAAATGTTTTCTGAAAATGCTCAGTTGAAATTATTTTGTTCCATCTCTCAGACTTATGCTTTGTGGGGAAAAAATATTCTGTTATAATGCAGCTGGCCAATTACTAACGAATGGAATCATAATGGAGCAACACTGGAGTATTCTCAGGTTTGGGGTCAATATTTCCAAGACAAGTGTAGATCCAGGAACAATTATTAAGCCCCACATTCAGACCAAATACTTCATACATGCATATTCTAGCCAATGCCTTTCTGCCTTGCTCCACCCATGTGGCACAGCCTAAATCTGTATACCCTGCTCTAGCACAGACCCCTCTACCTGAATCATGAAATTGCTGAACGAGGAGGTAAAGTTCTAGTCAAAATCTCAAGAGTTGGGGAACCCTGTGACAATTTTCAAACTATGAAAACTATAGCCAAGGTAGAATGTCCTCTCCAAGGTATTCACTGACATTTTAGCTACATGCCCAATTAGAAATGAAAAGTTTTCTGAAAATGTACAAAAAGAAAGGGGGCACAGGAAGTGAACTGGTCCCCCAGGGTCTACTTAATCTCTCACAGCCTATGACTCTCCAATTCAGTGTCCCTGCCTAACACCAAATTTAAGAGTTAACAATATGTTTTTCTTAATCTCAAATCTATTTTTTAATATACCAAATAGAGAGCAATCTGTTTATGTGACAGATACCTGCCTGAACACCTTTTTACCATAACACATAATTTCCCCATAGAAATAGGCATAAAATAAGAAAGATAATAATTAACCACCTATTGATTTATGATTACTTAATTTCTGAGGAAGCACTGACTGAATTAATGATGAAAACTACAAGTATATTAACTGTATTCCATAATATACCATTTATTTGGCCTCATTCCTAACATTTTATTACATTTCCTGCCCCTCCTAAAATCACTGGCGTGCAGTAGCATTTTTAGTAGCAGGACTAACACCACTACTTACTGAATCCATAGATGACATTATTAATGGGATGTTAAAGATTTTAATTATAAACACATTAAAATAATAGCATAAAAATCTTCAAAATCACCCAGAGATGTTCCAACTAATGCAAAATTCAATATTTTTCTGTCCAACCAGCAAAAGTGATGTTACCATGTAGCAATAACATAAGAGAATTTTACAATTCTAAGGTTTACAATTCCTAATGTTTACATTTTTCAAATTTTGAACATTGTGGTTTTTATTAATATTTTCAAAAAATGCTACTTCTAGTTCACATAATTTGAATTTGTACAGTCATGTACCTCAGTTTCCCATTTCCCTTGCTTGTGTACACACAGCACATGTCTCAGGAACCTCAGGGTCTGTGACAACTCTGCCCAACCAGCTTTTCGTTCTACAGATACTTGCTGAGTCCCTGGCAGAACCCTGCCCGGTGCACAGGAGACACTTTTGAATTTTCGCCGAAAGTGCATTCCAACAGGTATTCACAAAAGACTTCCAGATCCCAGCTGAGAGATCTGTTTATTTTAAATAATTTGACATATAAAGAGAGTTATTCAACTTATATTTGAAATCCACAAGGATTTGCTATTTTTACTAATGATTTGACTAATAAAGATATAATCTATATTTCGCTGAGCATGATCCCTTCCAGCTCCATCCATGTTGCTGCAAATTGCATGAGTTTATCTTTTTTGATTGTTGAGTAATATTCCATTGTGTATATGTACCACATCTTCTTGGTCCAGTCATCTATTCTGGGGCATTAAGTTGTTTCCATAGCTTACCTATTGTAAACAGTGCTGCTATAAACATAAGGGTGCAGGTGCCCTTTTGAATTAATGTTTCTGTGCCCTTTGGGTAAATACCTAGGAGTGGAATTGCTGTATCATATGAAAGAAATAGAAAAATACCAGATGGTCTCACTCATAGCAGGAATTTAGAAAACCTAAATAAGGGACCAGGAAAAAGACTAATTATAATAAAGTAAAAATAAAAATCAACAAGCAACTACACTACAGGGTGGGGAGGAGGGTGTAGGATCAAAACAAGGGGGCGGTGGGAATTGTATGGGGACTATAACCAAGATGAAAATGCACACATTGTGCAAAAATGAAAAATGATGTAAAATATATAAAATAATATAATAAATAAAAAAGAGAGATATAATCTATAGGTATAATACCAAAAAGAAGAAAAAAGATAGGGGACAAATAAATGAATTTAACTTGAAAGTTCACCAAATCCACCCAGATAGTCCCACCACAGTATTTGGAAATCAGAGACCCCATCTATTCTTTTCTGTATCATCATCCCATCCACTTCCTCTGTAATCCATATAACACTTTATTTTCTTCTTTGATATAAAATTCACATTTCACCCTAAAGCCTAGAGAAAAAGAAGATAATTCCACTGAAAGTTGCAGTAAAATTATATATCGTTTATATATTCAAATTTTTTAATCTCCAGAAATATTATTATAACACAAACATATTGTTAGCATAATTATAGCCCCTGTATCAGTCATTTTTTTAAAATGCACACCGTGTGTGGCATTTTAATGTTATCTTTTTATTTTTCAACTCTACTTTTCAGTTGAGTAATATCAGTACTGATTAGATAAAGCAGATTGATATGTTTCTTTACAAATTAACTATTTCTTTGAATTAAGGAAAAATTTCTTTGATTTTTTTTTTAAGTATTAAATATGCCTATGTGCCTGCTCCTGATTGCTCTTTCCCCCTGGAGCATGGAAGACCTGTGTTCAGACTGCAATTGCGCAGACAGGCATGCCTTGTGTATCATCTTAACAGGAGCTGACATGTAAATTGTCCATAAGAAGACAGCCCCAGGGGCTCCCTACATGTGACAGAGGGAGAAACAGAGCAGTCCTCTCTGTCAGAAACTTCCTGCACAGAGACAGAGAAAGGCAGTGGGAAGGATCTAGGGAGCCAACACTTTCCCACAAAAGAGGCGATTATGCATCCCACTCATCACAAAATTAGAAGCCTTCCCCTTCCACATCTGTTCTGGTCCATTTTTGAATGTGTAGGCGAAATAATTTAGATAATTTTAAAATTATTTCCCACCTAATTCCCAATTTTTTGACATTTTGTCAATGGGCACCAAAAGATAATGTTAGTAACTCTGAGAAACTGATAGTATCTACTTAGAAAAAAATTATTTTAGAGTTTAATAAGGACTATCAATAAGGTATAATATCAGTATCATAAACTTTTATATGCACAAAAAACTACCCAGAAAAATTACATACATAATTTTATATTGCTATATATAATATTAATTACATTGACATATAATATATTCTGTCAATGACACATAATTTCCAGTAGGAATTTCTTCTCAAAATCCTATTAAAGATAGACGTAAAACTAATTTGTTTCATTCAGTTTAAAAATGTATCAGCTTATCAACAGATTTTTTGCTTTAGTGAAAGTTATTTTTAAATTATTAATATCCTATACAATCACAAAAGATTACTTGTCACTCAAAGAAATTATGGCCATGGAAAGGAAGGGAAATCAAAAGTATTTTTAGTAGGCTTCAAGGCAGAGAACACTATTATTTTCTAATGTCCATCAGCTGATTAAAGCAGACAAGTATGGTGCTTAGCTCTGCCTACTCTAAAGATAATATAAGCCCTTGCACCAAAGGGATTTACTTTAAAGAGCATAGAAGATTGAAAAACTCTAGTTCTTTTACTGGTTTATCATTTGAGCAAAGATTCCCAGACAAACAAAGTTATGAAACTGGAACTCTTACCAGTTTATTTTAAAATTTTAAATTAAAATATCTAAACATAAAACAATTGAAATTTTAAGTATAAAGTTGGTTGGATGCTTTTCCTATTTCATATAAGAGAAAACTTTACCTCAAATGAGTAACTAGATCCTTCTGGGTGGATAATATATAAACCACTTGGTGTTTTGGTGACAAAGTCAATGGTATCTTTAATATAGTACAATCTAAACCTAGAAAAGTGAAAACTGTTATTTAGGATATTTTCAAGTGTACGTTTATGACTTAATCATTATTTTACTATAGAGAACTGACAGTGCTATCTGAAATTGTTATAGTTTCCACTAAATGATACAGTGATTTTATTAACTTTTAGAAAGGAAAAAAATCTCAATTTTAGAGCTAAGGAGAAAATACATGGAAGAACTGGTATTAAGGAATTTATACTGCAAAAAACTTTTATTAATAACATATTCATGATTAGTATTCTATACTATTGAAAAGTTTCATTTGGGACCAACATTTATTTAACATTTTATAATTATGCATCTTCTTGCCCAGAAAATAATGCTTTTCAGAATTTAGCTTCTCTTAGGGGCATAATATGTAAAGGAAATCTATGAATGAGAAGAATGAATGAGAAGAAAACCCAAAGAAGTAGATTAACTGCAATGGACACATCCTTGACTACTCTATTTGAGTAGTGGAATCACTATTATCAAGGAGAAAGGACTGGAAACCTGTCACCAAGAAGGAAGTATGCTACACGAGAGCCTGCTCTGGTGGCAATACATACAACTGTGCACCCTATAATCGCCTCTCCAAAACGTGCACTTCCCAAGGGATTGTAGACAGATTGTGTGGATATAGACATTACATTTTACTCTAAGTTGCTTTACTTTGCATTGTATTTATAAATGTAATATATAAATTCAACCCTTACAACATCAATTACCCAGAGAGACAAAATCATGACAGTTTGGGTCAGAGTCAAGTTCTACCCTTCCTAAGGGAGAACCATTAGCTAAGAGACTTCATGTGTAATATCATTATAACAATACACCTATCATTAACACAATGACTACGTACATCATAGTGTTATGCTGACAGCTTATGTGGTAAGGCATATATATGCAAAGAAAAAGTGTCTAGGGCCTCCCTGGTGGCACTGGGGTGAAAGACAGCACTATCAAGCTATCACCAGCCACTGCAGCATGACTTCGATTCCCAGCCGGCCAGGGAGCAGCCCACATGGCACAGCAGACCTCTCCTGTCTTGCCCGCTGCTCCCGTCAGCAGTGTATTTCAGTCAGTCTGCCTGTTCTGCTCCCCAATCTGTCTCTGGTGAATCCTTTCACCCCTACCCCCTGCATCTCTGGCCTGCACCCCAGCTCTTGTATCCATAAATAAATAAATCTTAAAAAAAACTGATTTCCAAAAAAAGTTTATAAAAAAGAAAAAGAAAAAGAAAAAGTGTCTACCACACAGCAAAATACAGATGGTCTCTACAAAAGTTTGGCTTGCCCCTTGGTTTCCGGAAGACTTAGATTTGTTGCCTTTGTTCTGAATGGCTGAGACAGGCTTGAAATAACTTTGTGCTCAGAGCTGTGACAGAAGTTTACAGTGAAGCACTTATGTGGGCTGGAACATGTGCTTTACCATCAGCATCTATATAACTGTGAACAGATTTAGATTGTTCTGGGCTATATAATCTCCTCTGAGGATGATGATCATCAGAGCAAACCCTTATAATGCTCTTATTATGTGTCAGGTAATATTTTAAGAGCTGTATGCTTGTTCGCTCATTTAATACTCATAAGAACGCACATGTTACCATGTGAGGTAGGTGCCCTAGGTGAGGAAACTGACATCAAGAAAATGGCAGATCAGGGACTTGAAGGCAGGTGGTCTAAGGTCAGAGTCTATCCTTTAATCACCATGTTATACCACCTCCCTAAGGGTGGTTATGGGAAATAAATGAGACATACTAAAATGATAAAAACACAAAATAACATGTGAAGGTGCTTGTCTTAGTCCCTGACACATAGGAGATTCTCTGTAACACCTTATACCCTTTCTTTTGCAAGGAAAAAGAAAGATCATAGACTAGGTCCTCAATAATACTTATTTGCTGGAAGCTTTCAGGTATTAGTTCACATTTGTAAAATTTATAGGGCATTTTTCTCAGAGACCCAATTTCCTATTAATTACACCACATTTTAGTACCAAAACTGCTCAATTCCAAATGATTCTGTCTTGTTTCTTTTTCTTTTCAAATTTTATATCCCAATTTAAAACATTTCAAACATGTCAAAGATGCTTTTTATAGGTGAGAGGAATTCTGAAGCTTTATTTTCTTCTAACTGGAGACTAATTCTTAGTAAGTGGTAAAAGGGAACCCAGAATGCAGTTATATAAAGCCATGTTATTTTCAACACATCCAGTTCTTCTGCAACAGCCATGGCTTTCAAAGAGCAGGAAAAACTTCCTGATTTAGGAAAGCGCACATTGTCTGGGTGGAAAACTGCTCCCTGGCAGGCCTCCGGCAGGCTCCTCCAGCTTCCTAGATAAGAGTGCATTAAGTTTTTAAACAGAACTTTCAAATGTACCACCTGCTCAGGAAAATTTGAAGCAATAAAAGACAAGAATGAAAAGGCTGAAACACTACACTTCTCACTATGGGACTAAACTAGTCTGTGAGCAAAAGACCTGGTCTGCTTTCTCCAAACTCCTGTGGTCAAAATGAGAACTCGATTCCTGAGCTCACTAACTTCAACACACACACACACACACACACACACACACATACACACACACACACACACACACACGAGGGGCTCCCTGGTGGTGCAGGGGTTAAATTCTCAGCATTATCAAGCTATTGGCAGCCACTGTGGCAAGAGTTGGACCCCTGGCGAGGGAGCTAAAGCACATATAGTGCAGCAGACCTCTCCTGTCTCACCTGCTGCTCCCCTCAGCAGTGTTTTTGAATAGATCTGACTCTTTGTCTCTGGTGAATCCTCTCATCCCCCATCCCTGCACCTCTGACCTACACCCCAGTTTTTGTATGCATAAATAAATTTAAGTCAGTTTCCTTACACTTGACTTCACTGGCCACTCTCCACTGCCAGCCCCCTACCCCTAAACCTCTGCCCCCACAAAATCCAAATAGTTCCTCAGAACCAGGTGTACTATCCTTCTTCCCTGACCTTTGCCACTTTTGCAGCATATATTCATCTTTCATGACTCATCCCTCAGGCCTTATCATCTGTGAATTTCTTGGATGTCAGATCTCAAGTCTCAAATTTCTCTTTTGTGTATTCTAACAGCATTCATAGTGTATTTTTTCAATACCTTCTCTTTTTGCTCCCCTAGACCATATGCTCCTCAAATGAGGTGTTCTTTTTTCCTTCCTGTTTGCCTGGTGTTTACTATGGTGCCTCTAACATATAGGTATTAAATAGATGTCTAGGTAGGACTGCATTAAAAAATTAAAAGACTGTCTCTCTAGCTAATTATATCACCTTATGTCAGTGTACACTTGCACTGTTAAACATCCATATCTGGTTAGATAAATAATCCAAGGAAATCATATGTTCATCCATCAAATTTCTTAGTAGTTTTTTGGTACTTCTTGTATAAGAAACAATTGAATTTTGTAAATTTCCTTAAATCACAATAAAAAGTATTTGCTAAATATTGTATTGCTATTAAAAATAACTATAGTGAAAAACCATGAATATATGATCTTGAATAAATATTCAAGTAAACATATTAATATTTCATTCTGTCTAAAGACTCAGAGTTGTATATTCTAGTTAGTATTATTATGACTCAGGAATAACCAAGAAAATATGTTGTCAACATTTCTTAATGAAAATTTGCCTCGTAATAATTTATAGTATCCCAAATAATTTAATCTGATATAACTGAGAGACAGTATCCTCAGTATCAGTTCTCATTTTAGAAGATGAGAGGTATTGAAACAGGAAGCATAAAGAAAGAATTATACTAAGTGAAATAAATCAGAAGGAAAAGACATATATATAGGATGATTTCACTCACATGTGGAATATAGAGAAACAAAACAAAAGACCTGACAACACTAAACCAAAACAAATCCTACACATATGAATGCAGAATTGAGGCTACCAGAGGAGGGGGTACGGGTGTGGAAACAAAGTGGGTAGGGGGCCCAATGATCTACTGTGAAGAACTATTGGTACTTTATGGTGGCCATGGTGTGGTGACATAAATCTGACATAGGTGTGAACCTATATCCCTAAATCATATGCAGTGTTGTAAACCAATGTTACCTCAATTTAAAAAAAAATCAATAAAACATTATAACATTATAAGGGTGTCCCTGGCGCCCCAGGGGTGAGCTCTCAGTGCTATCACCTAAGTTCGATCCCCAGCCAGGAAGCAAACACACATGTCACAGCAGACCTCTCCTGTCTCACCACTACTCCCCTTCGCATTGTATTTCAGTAAATCTGCCTGCTCTGCTTCCCACTCTGTCTCTGGTGAATCCTTTCACTGGCCCCTCTTCTCACCCCGCACCAGGTCTACATTATAAAGAAAAATTAACATTATAAACCAACATTTACATATATGGAATTTAAAACCACATCTTCTCATGGTATTGAATGCATTACATTAGCTCTCACTCTGACATTGTTTTGAATAAAATGTTCTAATTCATATAGCTATCTTTGAAATATGAAGTTTCTAGAACAGTTCCTTTTAAAACAAGTGAAATTTTTATTACCTACCAGATATTTCATTATCACAGTTAATCAGAAAGTTGCTGGCTAGTTTTTATAATTTCTTTAAAAATTTGTAATTTCTTCATAAATTTTCCACAAGAAATGTGTTATAAGTAAATCCTCAGTTTATGGTCTCCACAGTTCAAAATTATTATCATTTAAGGAGAGCCTCAGCATTTCTAGTAAATACTTTTTCCATATTTGTGAGTATAATCAATCTCTCAGACTTCTAATATATATCTTGAAAACTGTATCATTATGCTTTCTTGATGCTAAGATAATATTGCTAAAATTCTTACCATAGAATGATGTATGTATGGCTTTTCCTCAAAGCAAAATGCATATATTTAAGAACACAAGTGAGGCCTGGGAAAGATACTTTTATTTTTCTTGGAGAAATGAAAAACTTCAATTATCAGTAAGCTCTCTGTGGAAAGAACTACAATGCAGAGTTTGGAAAGTGTACAAAAAACCCCCAGAAGCCAATACTTACTAGTTTCTATGCCCTTGTTTAAAGGAACACCTTTCATATGAAAAACAAGGTGGGCCTCCCTGGTAGCACAAGGGATTAAGGCACAGCACTATGAAACAATCCACAGTCACATGGTGCAGCAGACCTCTCCTATCTCACCTGCTGCTCCCCTCAACAGTGTATTGCAGTACATCTGCCTGTTCTGCTCCCCACTTGGTCTCTGGTGAATTCTCTCACCACCCCCCTGCATCTCTGGCCTTCACCCCAGCTCTTGTATGCATAAACAAATCTTTAAAAAAATGCAAAACAAGGTGACCTCTAGAGATCCTGACATTTCAAGTTATATGAAATCTTTTTCATCACTACTTGCCTGATTTATAAATCCAGGCTTTGGGCATATAGACAATAGCTAGATGATGAGATACAGAGATGACACATAGATAGATAGATAGATAGATAGATAGATAGATAGATAGATAGATAGATAGATAGATAGATAGATAGACAGGTAATGCACTTGTAAAATCATAGTTTTATGAGTGCATTTTTTATGGTCTTGGAAAAATGCTTTTGATAAGACAGATATACCTCAATAATCAGGTTACATAAAAACAGGAAGGAAGGAGATATGAGAGATGTAGTAGGAAGAATATTAAATGAAACTATTTCTACAAAATACTAAGCAGAATTTAGTCAATGTGGACATCCAGAGCAGATAACTCAGATATAAAATATGCTTCTAATTGAACTTAGTTTATCGATTATGATGATATTAACCACATCATTGCCAAATTTCTGGGACCCTTACTTGTATGTGTTAAATCTATAATGTTGAAATTTCAGAAATTTTGAACACAAAGGAACAATTGCTACTGAAAATGACAACTCTCTGATGATCAATGTCTGTGATGAGTCTTCAAATTCTACCTTACCATGGCTCCTTCTCTTCTTTATATAATCATTACCTGAAAATTAAGAAGCAAAGGCAAACATGTTTCTGAGTCTTGTTTTCTCCATCTCCTTTCTTAGCCTAAGAATTACAGGGCAGTGACTAGACCATAGTTTCCACAATACTAGCAAAGTGACTGTACACAAGAGGCACTCAAATATTAATAAAGTGAAATTTTAAGCAAATTATCTATTCTCCTCAACTATTTTTTTTGTTTTTTTTTATAATAAGTTTTTGTTTATTTATCATACTTCAGACTTAATCTTAAGTGAGACTTTCTTTAAAAATTGCATTAATGAGGGCCTCCCCGGTGGCGCAGCGGTTGAGCACTGGGTTGCGAAGCTGCCCGCAGCCTCTGCAGTGCCGGTTCGATCCCCGGCTGCTCCCCGGCCACTGGAGGAGGGTCCCACATGGCACGCAGACCTCTCCTGCCACCCGCTGCTCCCCTCAGCAGTGTACTTCGGTCCTTCTGCCTGCTCTGCTCCCTGCTCTGGCTCTGGTGAATTCTCTCACCCTCCCGCGCTTCTGACTGTACCCAGTGCATGTATAAGCAAAACAAACAAACAAACAAATAAATAAATAAAACATGCCTCTATTTAAAAAAAAAAAAATTGCATTAATGAGCAAGAACCATATGGCTTGAGATGGAGATATTGCAAGAGTGGCATAAATCCAGCTGTCCATTTCCAGCACATAAGCATGTTTTATTTGCTGCTTAATTGTTTTTTGTAAAGGAATTTGCTTATGTGCTAAGTACACATAAAATATTTTATATTCTTTATGTATAGTTAATAAGAGATACTCCATCATCATTATTATTTCACGGGTACACAGTAACTTTCCTTTGAGTAATTCATATAATTTATAACCAAATCACAAGACCATTTATGTAAATATTTTGCATGCTTACTTAACAACCTTAAAGCTTGCCATGTGTTCACATTCATGGTGTCAAAAATAATTTATATGGGTCAGTTGTAATGAAATGGATTTTATTGATTTAATTTTCTGTTTATTCAAGCTGTGGAATTGGGAAGTGGAAGCACAAGAGGCTAAATCAGGAGAAAATATAACATGTCAACCTCAATTATCAATTATTTTTTGCTAATTGTATGAAATATATCTGTTGGGGGGGCAAAATGAAGCGAACTAAGGAAACTGGGGGAAAAATGTGCTCTGAATGAATATGTGAATTAATATAATGCATTTCTTACTTTTAAAGTGTCCTAATGTTGGGGCCTCCCCGGTGGCGCAGCGGTTGAGCGCTGGGTTGCGAAGCTGCCCGCAGCCTCTGCGGTGCCGGTTCGATCCCCAGCTGCTCCCCGGCCACCAGAGGAGGGTCCCACATGGCGCGCAGACCTCCCCTGCCGCCCGCTGCTCCCCTCAGCAGTGCACTTCGGTCCCTCTGCCTGCTCTGCTCCCTGCTCTGGCTCTGGTGAATTCTCTCACCCTCCCGCTCTTCTGACTGTACCCAGTGCATGTATAAACAAATAAATAAATAAATAATAAAAAAAAATAAAGTGTCCTAATGTTTTAAATGATTTTTTCTAATTACCTTTTTTTCTAAAATAATAAATTTTATTTTTATATTCCCCATACAATTGCAACCCCCCCATTCTGACCCCAATCCCTCCCCTCCCACCCCCCACCCCCCAAAAAGTGTCTCTGGTTCATAGTTTTTTGTTGATTTTGATTTTCACTTTCCTATAGTTATTCATTTTCCTGGTCCATTATCTAAGTTCTCTAGATTCCTGCCATGAGTGAGACCATCCGGTACCTTTCTTTTTCTTTCTGGCTTATTTCGCTGAGCATGATCCCTTCCAGCGCCATCCATGTTGCTGCAAATTGCATGTGTTTATCTTTTTTGAATGCTGAGTAATATTCCATGGTATATATGTACCACATCTTCTTGATCCAGTCATCTATTTTTGGGCATTTGGGCTGTTTCCAAAGCTTAGCTATTGTAAACAGTGCTGCTATAAACATGGGGGTGCAGGTGTTCTTTGGAATTGATGTTTCTGTGTCCTTTGGGTAAATACCTAGAAGTGGAATTGCTGGATCATATGGAAGCTCTATGTTTAGTAGGTCCAGAAATCTCCACACAACTATGACTATTTAAACCAAACATTCTTACCTTTCATTCCACTGAAACTCTCAGAGTTTCTCCAATAAGCACTATGGGAGGGTTGGAAGTCTGGGATAGAAGGCCTGCATTTGAGGGGCCTACCTAGTGGCACAAGGAGTTAAGACCCAGCACTGTGAAGCTACCCGTTGCATCACAAATTCGATCCCCGGCCAGGGAGGTAATCCACGTGGCACAGCAGACCTCTCCTGACTCGCCCGTTGCTCCCCTCAGCATTGTATTTCAGTGATCTGCCTGTTCTGTTCCCCAGTCTGTCTCTGGTGAATCCTCTCAGCCCCCTGATACACCTTTGGCCTGTACCCCAGTCCTTGTATGCATATATAAATAAATCTTTAAAAAAAAAAAAAAAAGAAGGCCTGCATTTGAATCTCGATCCTTTACTCCTTTGCTCTGGGACATTGGCTATATGAGCTAATAACTTAATTACCTTTTTGTAGAATGAAGGATTGTTGTGTGAAGCCAGTAATTTACTATGCACTAAGTTCTTTGCACACGCATATAAGGCAACAAGGACTTAGATGTGGTGATGCCATCATCATCATCATCATCATCATTTGACTCATCTATAATTCTAACATTGCTGGTATTATTGATGACCTTTATAATCTACATTATACATTACGAGTAGGGGCATATATTTTCTTTTCTTTTCTTTTTTTTTAAAGATTTATTTATTCATTTATACAAGCACTGGGTACAGTCAGAAGCACGGGAGGGTGAGAGAATTCACCAGAGCCAGACCAGGGAGCAGAACAGGCAGAAGGACTGAAGTATACTGCTGAGGGGAGCAGCGGGCGGCAGGAGAGGTCTGTGTGCCATGTGGGACCCTCATCCGTCTGCTGGGGATCGAACCGGCAGTGCAGAGGCTGCAGGCAGCTTCACAACCCAGTGCTCAACCGCTGCGCCACTGGGGAGGCCCAGGGCATATATTTTCTTTAACCATAAGTTTCTAGTTGAATTCTTGTGAAAATGGCAAGATTTTAGCAATTTGAAAGCATCCAGATGTTAAAATTCTTTGTTCTTTCACAGCTTGCCCAGACACAAATTTAGGAAAAATTTGAGCAAGAAAATACTTCAGCAGAAAATGGAAAAAACAGCCTCAGCCAAGATGAAAATGAAAGCTCACCACAGCTGCCTCACATGAATCAACAGTTCTAACAAGCACCCAATCAGGTAGTGTGTGAACATGCCATGTAACCATAAAGGGGTTATAACTAGTTTCCTTTGTAAATAGAAGATAATTAATAATTTATAACATCATGTTAATAAAGTTGGCGCCTCACATGCAAGATGAAAGTCCACTATTCCTCTTCCCACTCAGAACCAATTTCTTCCATTTCAGTAAGTGGCAATACCCTTTATTCACTCCCAAGTCTGAGAATGATATTTGATTCTTTCTGGTGTTTTTTTGTTTTTGTTTTTGTTTTTGTTTTCATTCTTATGCCACAGCCATTCATCAGCACATCCTATTAACTCAGGTTAAAATGTTGAACACTTCTTAGGCCTCCCTGGTGGTGCAAGGGATTGAGCACAGCCCTATGGGGTGGTCCGCAGCCTCCGTAGCAAGGGTTCGATCCCCGGCCAGCCAGGACGCAATCCACATGGTGTAGCAGACCTCTCCTGACCCGCCCGCTGCACCCCTCAGCAGTGTATTTCAGTCAGTCTGCCTGTTCTGTTCCCCACTCTGTCTCTGGTGAATCCTCTCACCCCACCCCCACGTCCTACCCCACATCTCTGGCCTGTATCCCAGCTCTTGTATGCATGGATAGGTAAATCTTAAAAAAAAAAAAAAAAAGTTGAACACTTTGCTTGCCTCCATTGCTACATTCGTAGCCTAGATCTCCACAATCTCTCCCTTAACCTAAAATAACAACATTTGTTTTTGTTTCTAGTCCTGTCCCTTATAATCTAGTTTCCCTACAGCAGCTAGAGTGATTCTTTATTTAAAGGTTAATTAGATATTACTTTCCTACTCTAAGTTCTCCAGTGGCTTTCACTCCATTGGAAGATATATCTTATATTAATCCCTTCCATATTAGGTAAGTCCCAGTGAATCTGAAGTAGTTCTCCAATCTCATGTCCTAGCACAAGTCCTCTAGTTCACTGCTCTGGAACCACTGTTCTGGTCTTGCTCTTTGAACATATCAAATATAATTCTGCCCTCAAAGCATCCTCTGTCTGTAATATATTCTTCATCCAGATATTTGGATGAAGGTTAGCCTCCTTTCTATATTCAGACCTCTGTCCTAATTTCCCCTCCTTAGAGGCCTTCCCTGAGTATCCTATCAAAAATAGAACTGACACCAATTTCTATCCCCCTACATTACTCCATTTTTCTTCATAGCATTTTCGCTACCTAATATATTCTAGTGAATAAGAAACAATAAGTACAAGCTTTATGAGTACAGGGTCTTTGCCATTTTGCTCACCACTGTATCTCAGCACCTAGGAAGTGCTTCACACTTAGAAAATACTCAATATATAATAAAAGAATGAATTGTTTTCTGGTCCTGAAGTAGGGAAGAATTAAGCAGTATGTTTAATTCAGCTATTTCTTCTAACAAAATGTATTGACTTTAGTATATTATTCTTTTATTGCTGAAATCATACTTCTTTCCTGTTGAGAAAAAATTATGTCTTAAAGTTATCTATTTTCCAAATATCTAAAGGGCTTGTTTATAGACTACAGGATATATAACTTTTTAAAATGTGGGATGCTTATTTTTTGAAGAAAGAAGTAATATAAAGGTCAAAAATAGATTCTGATTAAAAAATTTGGCAATATTGTGTTTAAAATTTCTATTCTTCATGATTATATTGTAAAGCAATATTTAAATGAAGAATGATTACATGAGCAAGCATTTGTGGGCAACTGAGAAACCTAGTCACATTTCTTAATGCTAATATACCATGCAACAAAGTAATGAGATACCTACACATTACAAGATGCCAAACTAATAGCAAAATTTATATTGCAAATAGCAGCCACAATCTTCTCACTTTTATTTGTACTTCATACTGCCCCACTTGGCTTACTGTTCCTAAATGTGCCCTGGAGAAACACACTTGTGATGCTAGCAATGGGAAATGAATCAAGGTCAACACCCGTGGCTAGGCCAGTTTAAAACTTGCCAAGATAGTTAATTGTCCATATGACCATATCTAACCTTCCTTTGCCAAGATTACATATTCGGCTCTGCAGCATGGTTCTGAAGAGGGCTTATTATGCCTTTTGAGTTTCAAATCAAAACTGGATTTGTTGTGGCACTTAAAATCTTAACCAGAGCACATTCCAATTTGAGTCATTGCATTCAATTTTGCAAACTGTTTTAAATAACTTCAACTGGAAAATTTTGTTATTTGAACTCTGAAAATGAGCAAATTGATTCTTAAGGACAAGGCATTTGGATAGTGGGTGAGTGATTTTTATTCAGTTTGTACATTCTGCTTCCAATCTGGGTTTTTTTCCCACCAAAAAAAACCAAAAAAAAGACCTGGCTGTAACACTGTCGTTTGTATGTACTTTTACAGTGGAACCCAACAAATTGTTTCAGCTTATTTTCAAATTTTCATTTGCATAGTTACTATAATTATGACTCAAAAACCGATTCAATTTTCCATACCTCTTGAAACAATTTCAAAAGGATGATCTCTTTTTGGCGTATCATCCCAGGAGATTGCTAGATTAAATCTGGCTTTCTTTCTTTCCAGGCCTTCTATGCCTTGATGGTCTATTTCCCGAATCTGGCAGCAAGGCAGGCACCAATTGGAGTCTTAGAAACGCTGGCCTTATTAGTAGGGATGCGGCTGTTGTGGAGTGGATGGGAAAATTCAGAGAAAGGAAATTTCCACTTTACAAAGCTTTTTCCTTTTTTAAAACAGATGATGTTTCAGAATAGTGATGCCCCGGAAAGGTTCGCAACTCAAACCCCACAGCAGGATTCGGTAGTTAGCAAGCCCTACACCGAACGATCCCCCAGGCAATCATTTCAGAATCCCCTGTTGGCCTGCATCTGGGGATTTCATATCTCACTGTCTTTCATCGCTCGCAATACACCCACGAAAACATCCTCTCAAAAGAGAAGAGAGAGGGCCTCCCTGGTGGCGCAGTGGGTTGAGCACCGCACTGTGAGGCTGTTCGCAGCCTCTGGAGCGCGGGTTCGATTCCCGGCCAGCCAGGGAGCAACCCACAGGGCGCTCAGACCTCTCCTGCCACCCACTGCTCCCCTCAGCAGTGTACTTCGGTCCTTCTGCCTGTTCTGCTCCCCGCTCTGGCTCTGGTGAATTCTCTCACCCTCCCGCGCCTCTGACTGTACCCCAGTTCTTGTATAAATAAAAAATTCTTTAAAAAAAAAAAAGACACCTAAGCTTAAAAAAAAAATAAAATAAAAAGAGGAGAGAGAACCGAGGCAGGATCCAGCGCGCAGCTCAAGCCCTCCCCTCCCACAGGGACGCGGGTCCCCGAGGACGCAGGTTCCCACCGTCGCAGCCCCCGGGCGGAGGCCGCCGGCGCCTCCTATTGGTTACCTCAGGAGACGCCACGCCCCTCGCGCCCGACGCCCTGGTTTCCGTCGCGAAGGACGCGGCGTCGGTTGGTTGTCAAGATGGCGGCGGCGGCGGTGGGGTCGCTGCCGCCACTTCTCCCATTGCCGAGCAAGGTCGTCGCCGCCGCCGCTGCCGTCGCCACTACAGTCGCCGGCGCCGCTGCGCGGGAACCAGAGCTGTCGCGACCAACGCTTCCGCGCCCGTGACGCGGGCCCTGAGGGACGGAGTGCGGGGAGGGGCTGGGGGGAGGAGGAAGCGGGGCTGCCATGACGGAGGCGCTGGGGGCGAGCCCGGAGGCGGCGCTGAGGTGAAGGATGCTGGCCGGGAGGCCGGGGGCCCGGAGCGCCGTCGCGGGGCTAGCCGCTGAATCCTCGGACCCCCGCGACCGAGCCCTCCTCATCCCTCGTTTGAGCGGCGGGCGGCAGCGACCTGGCGCTTATCTGTATCCTTCCAAGCCGCGGCTGCCGGGGTAGCGAGCGGTGTGGGGCGCGCGGCCCTTCCTTCCCCCCATCAGATTCCCTTTTCACTGACGCAGGGGGTAGAAACGAGCCAGTCATCTTAGTGCATGTATTTGCTTCAGCGACTTTGCTCCCTTAGTCCTGAAATTATACCATTTTATACTAGTTGATGACCGCTTTCCCCGCCACCGTGTTGTCCTGTCTTAATTCATCAACTTTGGTGTAAACGTCCTTTGCAAATTTAAAATAACACCAGTCATATGTTCTGTGGGGATTGTTTCCTTGCCTTGTGGAATGACAGTCTTTACTTCCTATTATCTATCTCCTGATTAATCACGCAGCTCGCAGGGAATCCACGCATAAGTAAAGTGTTTTTTGCTGTCCTGAACGGGTCCGTTTTTATACTCAACCTAATACACCCCTAATTCGTTTACCAGAGCTGCTAAAGCCTAGCATAGTTGGGTAATTTGTTTTGTTTTCCATCCTTTGCCCAGTCTGTTGTCAGAGCGACAGCAGAGAGGAAAGCAGAAGCGCTTGTGGACCTGGAATCCCATACGCCGGATTCTGACTTTTTCCTAAAAAGTGGTGGAGACCAGCTTTGATGTTGCTGTGGGTTGCATTCTAGAAAATTGAGAGTACAAGAGTTTTGTTCCTTCAGCGAATGATATGATGATTAGAATTTAACTTTTGTACTGTCAAAGGACTTGGTTTACAGCGATGGTGCCGTATAATCAGGAAACGGGGTATCATCTCTTTCCAAGTTAACCCCTTCATTTTCCTATCTTCGTCTTACCTTTTTTCTGGGATGTTGCCATTTTAACAACAAATCAACTGACAATATTAATTGAGTGCCTGCTTTTCGGCTTTACTGGTCTCGGAGCTCAGAGCAGGATCCTAGTGAGGAAGAAAGGTATGTACAGATCTTCCCTAGTGGCAAAATATCCCTTATCTAATCATGCTTTCCTCAAGCTTCCATCCCTTTTGTCTTTTCCTTTTTTGGCCAAGTTCTTAAAATGATAACCTGTAATAACAGCTACATCATTATCAACATGAACTTTGCCTTCTGCCCTTTCTTCTCCCCACAACTGAACTCTTAAAAGCCTACTGTGAGGCAAATTGGATTATTTTCCGCGTGGATTTGATTCTCTTCCCTTGACATTGTATTTTTTTGGACATTGAATTCTTGTCACACTGACCCTGATTTATCTCTAAATCAGAAATTAAGGAAGCACTGTAAATGGCTCACTGACAAGTAGTGTCATTCCATCATTTTCATTAATGAAATAGTAGTAGATTTAATATTTTTAGTTTATGTGGTGTGAACATTGATACAAAGAACATGTTTGTAGGTAGAATTTAGCAGTATGTTAAATGAACAGAACCAAATGGACTTAATTCCAGAATTATGACAATTTCCTGTAAAGAAATATATTACTAAAACATATTTAAATACTAACTGTGGTTAAATATAAATAATATATTACTAAAAATATACTTCAATAATAATATGATTAAATATGAAAATTTGGTTAAATTTAAGAAAGTCGTAAATGATCATTTCAATAGATGTCCAAGAGGCTTTGATAAGATCCGGCAACTTTTGCTGGTGTGTGTGTATATGTATGTGTGTGTGTATATATATATATATATATATACACACATACACATTTATAGACTATCCATATATATCTTTTTTTCTAGTTTATGTATATTTTGCTAGCATATAGTATATATATTAATTTATGCATTTTTTAGATCATTGTTCATTTTTGTACAATATTTGCTTTCTCTTCTCAGGTGTAGACCCCATAAAATTCCCACCACCAAATCACTCATGAACCATCACTATAGTCCCTTGTGCTTTCCCCTCCCCTTTTCATCCTTCTCTTTCCCCCTCCCCTGCAGAATGTCTCAGATTTATAGTTGCCTGTTAATTTTGTATTTTCATGTATTTTTTTTCTGATCCCTTATTTGGTTCTCCTATATTCCTCCTATAAGTGAAACCATCCAGTATTTTTCTTTTTCTTCTGACTTATTTCACTGAGCATAATCCCTACCAGGTCCATCTATATTGCTGTGAATGGCATGAGTTTATCTTTTTTGATTGCTGAATTGCTGGAGACCAGCTCCAGCTAGATGTCGTGTCAGGGATCTCAGAAAGGAGAGGACGGCGTCGGGGGGAAGTGGAGCGAGGTAGGAGTGAGGTAGACACAGACACCTTATTTAGTGCAAGTATCTCCTACTGAGGGTCTCAGCAGGTCTTTATTTATACCTTAAGGTGAGTGGTGAGATTACATCAGCATAAGCATCAGAGCAGAACAGAAACAATCATTACATATTTTCTCATGAATATACAAAGACCCTCTTGATCTCATACTACAAAAGGACACTTCTTTAATCTGATGAAGAAAATCAACAGGGACAATTACTCTCCTAGGTACAACTCATTTTCTAACATAATCAATTGTCTAAGACAGTACAATGTTCAGTAACAAGCAATCATCCTGTCAAGCCTTCCTAATTTTGGAGTAGACATGAAAGTTCATTGTTATGCCATATTACTAAAATCAACCCATTCTCTAGTACTCAATTCATCTAGCCTATTTATCAATTACTTCAAAGTGATCTAAAGTAGCTCATCAATACTGTCTAGTTCTACAGAAATCTAACTTTTAACTAGAAATACCTAACCTCCACACATCCTGCGAACTGTTGGCCTTTTGCATACACCAGATGTATTGTTGCTGCAAACAGGTACCCCCCAGGTTAGGCTATGGTTTCCAAGCATAGCTAGTTCAGGGCAGCTTGTTCTCCACAGTTCTCAGGGCCAAAACATTTCTTTCCTAACTATATTTTTAACAATTTTTACTTCTTTTGTGATAGTTCATGCGTAAGAACAATAAGCCAATTGTCACCTGGGTCCAAGTTAGGTTTTCACATGCCAATTAATAACTAACTTACTTCAGCATTAACCAAGAACAAAGAGGAGAGCATTAGCAGGCCTTGCCATGGAGACTCCCTAGTTCAGATCTTCTTTGGGAAGTGCAAGAACTCCCCTCTTCTGGGAAGTACAACTTTCCCTCTTGGGGGAGCACAGGAACTCCCTGCTTCTCGGGAGTCTCCACCAATGCCCTGACCAGGTCAAGAGACAGCATGGGAGGCACAGCCTGCCGCACTGAATAATATTCCATTGTGTATATAGATCCAGTCATCTATTTTTGGGCATTTGGGTTGTTCCATATCTTACCAATTGTAAATAGTGCTGCAGTAAACATAGGGGTGCAGGTATCCTTTTGAATTAATGTTTTTATTTCCTTTGGGCAGATTCCTAGAAGTGGAATTGCTGGGTCATGTGGTAGCTCCATTTTTAGTAGTTTGAGGAACCTCTACACAGCTAGCCATTGTGGTTGGACCAGTTTGCACTCCCACCAGGAATGTAGGAGAGTTCCTTTTTTTCTACATCCTCGCCAACATTTGTTGTTGCTAATTTTTTAAATATGTGCCGTTCTCATTGGTGTAAGGTGGTATCTCATTGTAGTTTTGATTTGCGTCTCCCTGATTATAAGGGGTATTGAATATTTTTTCATATACCTGTTGGTCAGTTCCATTTTCTCTTTGGAGAAGTGTCTGTTTAGTTCTTCTGCTCATTTTTTAACTGGATTGCTACTTTGTTTTTGTTGAATCCTGTGAGCTCTTTGTAGATCTTTCCCATCAATCCCTTATCAGTTGTATGGCATGCAAAAATTTTCTCCCAGTCAGTAGGCTGCCCCTTTGTTTTGGTTAATGTCTCTTTTGTTGCACAGAAGTTTTTTAGTTTGATGTAATCCCAGCTGTTTATCTTTTTGTTCACTTTCTTTACTTTTGGGGATCAGTCTTTAAAGATGTTACTGAGATGCATGTCATGTTTATATTGGGATAAGGGAATTCTTCTGAACATGATAAAAAGACTAAATCAACAGTATCATTATGTTACTAGGTGAAAAAAGCACTTTTTATGAGATTTATTTTGAATGATCTTGGTGTTTGTTAACCATTGTATACCTGTTACAAAGTAGATGCTCGAATTTACTGAATGAGTGACTGAATGTGTTATAGGACAGGGAGAGGGGCAGCCCAAGCCCCGCAAACCTGCCTATTCTACATGGGTTCTGCCATCCGCCGCATCAACACAAAACACATGAGACTTTAATGGGAAGGAACTTTAATAAAACTAGGAAACAATACAGGTAAGGCAAAGAGTCTAGTTTCTAAATGAAGCACCCAAAGTTACCCATCCCCTCGTGGGTAAAAGTCCATCCATATGGGATCGGCCCAGAACAAGGCCCCAAAGCCTGCCACAAGTCTAAAGCATCTTCCAGTGGGGACCCACAGAAAAGGGTCACAAACAACTGGACAAGCCCGGAAGGAAAAGAGCAAAATCAACATCAAGATAAAAACTGCCATTGTCACCTCCCCACGGGTCTCACCCACATCTGTGTCACCCAGTCCACGACCAAAAGACAAGCAGTTTCTTTACGTGTCTCTAGGCTCCATGCGCCTCCTCCAGGTCTTCTTCTGGCTCCATCCTGCTTCCTTCCTCAGTCTCTTCTGCAGCTTCTCCTCTTCCTGCTCAGCTCCACCCTCCCTTGGGTGGGGCAGGGAACCTGGAACTTTCCCCTTTCCTGGGGACCACCCTGTTACAAATGGAGAAACACAAAACAAACAAAAGAAAGAACTGTAGTTTTGAAATAAGCAAGTGACTTGATGAAATTTCTACACGTGATTTCCTAATATGAATTCAGTACTCAGGGACCTTCCAGTTTTCTGTTGAAACTTTTTATCACTTGAATTAGAATTTCCTGATTCTAAAAGATATAAAAGAATCAAATTGTATAAAGTTCATCTGATTAAAACTAGCTAAAGTTCTATCATTCTGATCTCTTAGAATTCAAGATAAAAATAGGATGGTTTAAAAAAAGTGAAAGCTCATGTCCCCTTCATACAATGTCTTTTTGTCTCATAAATATCTCCAGTCTTTCCCTCCTTTTTATCCTAGCACACACACATGCCTCCCTTTCTTTATAGTCAGTTTATAATCTATTCTTATTATCTGTTATACATCTTACTATACATCTCTCTCCACTCCAGCATCCTTGGTTCTTTGCATATGTTTTCTTCTGCCTCAACTACACAGTAACTAATATAGCCCTACTTCTCTACTTTTTCCCTCTAATAATAAAAATACTGTCAGAAAAATCACAAAGCTAGACAGACCCCACAACAGAGTGATGGTTTCCATCTTCACACAAACAAGAGCTGGATTCTCATTCTTCCTAATGCCTGTATATGCCAGATCTTTATCACCTCTCCCTCCTAATACCTCCCCGCCCCCCACTCTGATTAGCCCGTCTTAACTACTTCAGATTGCAGTGGAGGCCATAAATTCCTTCAGGTCCCTCCCAACAAACAAACTCTTTTTTTTCCAGGTTCATTGATGGCATATCACTTTTATGATAGGAGTGAGTCCATTCATCTGCCCTATTATGTTTATCACCTGCCTCTTCTAGTAGCCCTGGCTTATAAATTATCCTACCTTTCTTACACAGGTCGCTTCCACTATCCAAAAATAGAACATTCCTACTTGATATGATTTGGTATGCTACTTTTTGAGTCTGGGAACCCTATTACCATTAATTTATATGGAAAAAAATTGAGTATTACCAAACCCTCAAAATACACTACCAAATCATGCCAAGTAGCAACATTCTGCTTCTCATATCTAGGGAAACCTGTTGTTTATTTTCAACTGTCTTCTTTCCAGATAGCCTTAACATGTTTACGTATGACATCTTTAAAGTTAACAGTAAGAACCCTTTTAACTATGTTCTAAAACCTCCTATCTCCAAAACCTCTAAGCAGTAGTCTAAATTCATTGACACTACTTTGAGTTACACTTTGTACTACTTCCAAAATAAACTTGAGCTGATTAAAATGGCATACTTATAAAATGTAAATTAGAACTGTCAAAATAAAATTTCACAATTTTCATGTGTTTGGAAGTATAGTAAATTTGCTTTTTGAAATATAAGAAAATAAAGTAAACCAACATCACCTCATTAAAAAGTATAATTTAATATATTGGAAACCATAAAAAACAAATTTCAAATGAAAATATTTCAAAGATTATTCTTTTAAAAATTTATCTAAGGACAATATCTGCACTACCATAGAAGCTTAGTATTTATGCTTTTCAATGTATTGAATTTATTGAAATTAATTCAGTAGTTCTCAATACATGAATGTCCAGTGACTATGAACTATGACTATGAACTATGCCAAAAAGTAGTCAAACATAGAAAATATCCTATTTTTGTACTAATATATAATAAAACATTTTCTACCTGGTCTTTCTTTAAAAAAAGGGGGGGGGCTGGGAGGGTAAAGTACTGTCCTCCACTCAGGAGGTTTTAAAATTTGTGTATGTATATTTCTAATGACAGAAATTTACATGACCCTCTTAGAAATCAATGTGTCTACATGGCACTAGAAGTTATAAAAATATATACACTTTTCAGTATCTCTACTGAGCGTTTTCTCCAAAAAAATGATTCAGCAAGTTTTTACTAAGTCGTTACTATATAGATCACCATGCCAGCCACTGGAGTTAGGGAAATGTAGAAGAGATACTGATGACACTCCTGAAGATGTCAACTCCTCCCATGGGGGTTGAAGAGGCTTCTAATGGGAGAACACTTGAGGTAGCCCTAAACAAATGAGTAGTTAGCTATGCATGTGCTGAGAGATAATGACATGCTACATAATGGTTCTGTTCATAAGTATCTCAGGTAGAGATATGTTGATAAATGAAATTGAAAAAATTATAAAATGCTTGGGATACGAGACCAAGAATTTTGGAATTTGCTATGTAAATTTAGGGTGTTTTTTGAGAATAGCAAAGACTGAAAAATCCAGTCATGTGCATTTCATTGGTTTTGGCAAGTTTCATAATAAAGAAAAGTTAAGTAGTCTTGACCAAGTTCATAATGTTTAAAAGTAACTTGTTTTTTTTTTCCCCAGGGAAAGTGAATTATTTCTTCAGTTCTAATACCAAGTCGTTTTTTTTTTTTTAATATAAAACATTTGCCAGTCATATGCTACCATGAGTGTGTACACATACTCGTTCCACAAAAAATCATTACATCATTTATATGGGGCAGTGATAATATCAATTAGCAATGGCAGTCATCCACTAAAGACCTTTAAAGTCCTTAACTTTATGTAATATTAGAGATATGAAAATCCACCTGAACAAAAATTTAGAAGAAGAACGCCAGATATTATTGCAGCAACAAAAAATATGTCGAAATCGAGCACGTAAATATTTTGTGGAGTCAAACCGGAGGAAAAAGTAAGTGTATTTTGTTCAGAAGTGAATAAATACAAAATCATTAGAAATTAATAATTGCTCAACTTTGGAGCATTTTACTAACTTAAGTCAGGACAGTGCTTTATCTATAAACACTGTTCAAGATTTGTGTGACTTTGTAAATGTTATTATTGCTTTTCTGCCTAAAGCACAAAGATTGTGGTGTGTTTAATATCTAATTCCACCAACTGTGATAATATTAGTCTTTTTTTGTCATAGAACTTATTATAATGTCATAAAGACGTCTTAAAATGATGAAAATGTTATATTCTTTGTTTTTCAATCATTCCATGATAAATTTAAAAATTACCGATTAGTGTTTAGTATACTTTGATTTTAATTTATAGTTCACTTATATGTAATTTTTGTATATGTCCTACCCTCATACATCTGATCAGAAAAGTGGGGTGAAATATGAATAATGGGAATGTGATTTTTAAAAGTCTAAAAATTACTGTCATTAAGAGCTTTCTCATTTAAACTGGAAATAAAAAATGAAAACTGCTTGATATTTTTCAAGATATGTTTGAATTACCAGACTTAAGAAAGAAGTTGTGTCATTTTTTTATTGTTATTTCTGCTATGTTGTCCATATTTCTACAATACATGAATAGAAGAAAATCCCTAGAGTTTATTAACTACATCATTGGGCATATGTTGAAAATCCCATTTGGGGAATACAAAATTGTTTACCTGTAATTTTTCTCTGGCATTATATCTCTCTTTAGATTAACTCTTTCATTGACTGGCATAGTTGAAATTATTTTAATGAAGCTTGTTTTTGTTTCGTATTTGTATATTCCTGTTTTTCTTCTACCTTTTAGTTCCTAAAGTGAATAATAGGTATGTAATAGGTGATGAATAACAATAAATAATCATGTTTTAAAGCTTATGAGCTTTAAAGTCAGAGATTTAGGTTTAAATCCTACCTCCATAATTTAGAGTAAGTAATTTAATCTCTTTGGGTCTTAGTTTCTCATCTGTGATTGGAATTAATATTTATTTCAAAGTTCTTACCTGTCTTCTTGACAGAATTCTGATCTAGAAAATACAGAAAAGAGATTTTGGTTTGAAATTCTAGGACGAAGAACATTTTCCACTATAAGCTTATGTTTTATTTTTCTGTTACCCTACAGTGCTAAGACACAAAATGTTCTTTTTAAATACTAATAATATCTATGAGAGTAATATGTGCACTTCTGAATTTCAGAATATGTATCATGGCCTTTTTTTGGTCTTGCCATTATCTATCCATTTGCTTTACATCATCTCAGTTTATGCTTTCCACTCACATAATAAACACAGAGTTGTATTTTTTTTCCTACAAGTGGAAACAGTCTTCTTAGACTAATATGGAAGCAGTCTCCTTCCACTGTTTCTCAGTTATACTTAGACATTGTCAGTGCTGTGTCCTAAGTAGAACTCAAAGGAAAATATCGGTAGCACTAAGTGCTCTTTATTTCCATAAATAGCTTAAAATGACATACATTTTTTTTTAAAGATTTATTTATTTATTTATTTATTTATTTATACACGCACTGGGTATAGTCAGAAGTGCGGGAGGGTGAGAGAATTCACCAGAGCCAGAGCAGGGAGCAGAGCAGGCAGAAGGACTGAAATACACTGCTGAGGGGAGCAGCGGGCGGCAGGAGAGGTCTGCGCGCCATGCGGGACCCTCCTCCAGTGGCCAGGGAGCAGCCGGGGATTGAACCAGCGCTGCAGAGGCTGCAGGCAGCTTCGCAACCCAGCGCTCAACCACTGTGCCACGGGGTGGCCCGAAAATGACATACATTTTTTATACATTCATGGTTATTAAGTATGGCTATCCTCTAATACTGTCTTAAAGGAATATTTTTGTGCCAGAATTGGTCAGTTCTGCAATAAATTTGAAGCACTAGAATATTGATTTAGTCTTTACAACAGCAATCACACTATTACCTACTATATATTTTAGCACCTTGACGGGCTGGTCACTGTACTGGATGCTTTACATAGTTCCCACCACCATCTCTTACATTCCCTTGTCCTTTCCTTCTCCCTTCTCTCAACCATAGAGCCTTAACAGTGTTTATTGATGTCCACTAATTTTTAAGGTATTTTACATTTTTAATCCTCTGCCATGTAAAAGTCTAGTATTTATTTTTTATCATTCTGACTCACTTTACTACACGTAATTATCTCAAACACCCTTCATTTTGTTGAAAATGGCTGTATCTCATCTTTCCTGTGACTGAAAAGTATTTACTATGGCATAGTGTAGCTAGACCACATCTTCTTGGTCCAATTATCTGTTGATGGACATTTAATCTGCTTCTCTGTCCTAGCTATTGTAAATAGTGCTGCAATAAATATTGTTAAGCATATAATTTCTTGTATTTATGGTTTTATGTTCTTTGGATAGATGTCCAAGAGTGGGATTTTGGGGTTGTATGGTATTTCCATTTTTAGTGTTTTAAAGTAAATCCGGATTGCTTTTCATAAAGGTTGCACTCTTTACATTCCCACCAACAGTGTAATAGTTTATTAACATCCTCTCCAGCACTTGTTGTTGGGTGTCTTTTAAATACGTGTCATTCTCACAGATGTGAAATCGTATCTCATTGTGATTTTAACCTGCATCTCTCCTATTGGAAGCAGTGATGAACTTTTTTTTTCAATGGCTTTTGGGTATCCTCTTTGGTGAATTATCTTCTTGTATTTTCTTTCCTGTGCAGAAGCTTTTTGACTTGTTTATTTTTGTTTTTCCTTTGCCAGAGTTGAGTCATCAAAAACATCTTTTGTTGATATCGTGGAGTATTTCACCAATGTTTTCTTCTATATATTTTATTGTTGCAGGCCTTATGTCTAACTCTTTATTTCATCTGGAGTTTATTTTTGTGTATGGGATTAGCAACTGACCCAACTTAATTCTTTTATGTGTTACTTTCCAATTATCCCAGCACCATGTATACCCTCTCCCCATTGTATGATAATAGCTACTTTGTCATCATATAAGGTACTGATATGTATACTTAGATTTATTTCTGGGCTTTCAATTCTGTCCTGTTGATCCATTGTATCTGTTTTTTGTACCAAATCCATATTGGTTTTAGTACTCTTGCTTTGTAGTAAAGTTTGATATCAGGTAACAGGATACCTCCATTTTTCTCCTTTTTTCTCAGGGTTACTTTTGCAATTCTAGGCCTTTTGTGGTTCCATATAAATGTCAACATTTTTTATTCAATTTATTTGAAAAATATTGCTGGTATTTTGGTGGGGATTGTGTTAATTAATTTTGTTTATCACTTTAGCTAAGATAGTCAGCTTGATTATATTGATTATTCTCCCCATACACAGGCATGGGATAATCTTCCATCTCCTTGTGTTGGTATACAAGTCCTTTAATAGCATTTTGTAATTCTCATTAATAGATCTTTTACTTCCTTAGTACTGGCTTAGTTCTGAGGTATTTAGTTCTTTTTGAAGCAATTATAAATGGAGGTTTTTTTGCCTTAATCGTTTGTGTTTTGTTTGTTGTTTATAAAAAGGCATGGATTTTCATATGTTGCTTTTGTAACATGCCATTTTGCTGTATTTATTGTTTCTAATAACTTTGATGATGTCTTTAGGGTTTCTATATTCAGTGTTTCACCTGTGAATAATGATCATTTCATTTCCTCTCCAACTTGGGTTTCCTTTATTTCCTGTTTTGTCTGATAATACTGATCTAAACCTCTAGTGCTAAGTTAAACAGAAATGGTGACACTTTCAGTTTTTCACCAGTAGGTATTATATTGATTTGTTTTATGCCCTTTTCTATATAGAGGTAGGTTCCTTCTATTCCCATCTTGTTTAGAGTTGTTATCATAAGTAGGTGGTGAATTTTAGAAATGCTTCTCAGCATCTGTTGATATTGTCCTGTGATTTTTTAAAAAGATTTATTTATACACCATGGAATATTACTCAGCATTCAAAAAAGATAAACACATGCAATTTGCAGCAACATGGATGGAGCTGGAAGGGATCATGCTCAGCCAAATAAGCCAGAAAGAAAAAGAAAAATACCAGATGGTCTCACTCATAGCAGGAATCTAGAAAACTTAAATAAGGGACCAGGTAAAAGAATATCTATAAGAAAGAAAATATCAAAATCAACAAACAACTATGAACCAGAGACGCTCTATGGGGGGGTGAGGGGCGGGAAAAGGAGGCTTTGGGGTCAAAATAAGGGGGTTGTAATTGTATGGGGAATATAAAAATAAAATTTAAATAAAAAATATTTAAAAAAAGATTTATTTATTTATGCATACACAAACAGGGGTACAAGTCAGAGGTGCAGGGGATGAGAGGATTCACCAGAGACAGAATGGGGAACAGAACAGGCAGACTGACTGAAATACATTGCTAAGGGGAGCAGCGGGCAAGTCAGGAGAGGTCCGCTGCACCATGTGGGTAGCTCCCTGGCCGGCAGGGGATCGAACTTATGCTGCAGAGACTGGATATCTTCACAGTGCTGTGCTTAGCCCCTTGCACCACCAGGGAGGCCCTGTCATGTGATTTTTATCTTTACTTTTGTTGTGACATACTACACTGATTTATGTATATGAAACCATCCTTGCATCCCTGGGACAAATTCCACTTAATCATGGTATATAATCCTTGCGATAAACTGTTGAATTTAATTTGTTAGTATTTCATTGAAGATTTTTTTGTCAGTGTTCATCAGAGATAATAGTCTAGAATTTTCTTGTGCTGTCTTTTTCCAGTTTAAGCGGTAGTGTAATGTTGGCATTTTAAAGTATATTGGGGAACATTAGTCTTTAGCTCTGAGTCTATGCTTGTCTTTGTTGGTATGGTGGGTTTCTTGCTAACAATAGACGGTTGAAACCCATTCATCCACTGTACACCTTTTGACTGGTGAATTCACAATTTATTCATAACATATTAAAGGAAACTGAAAGGAATATAGGATATTTGCAAATTATTTTTGACCATTTAAAATG